GAGGTGGGCGGTGAGAGGAGAAGCAAACAATGAAGGATGGGAGCAAAGCAGGAGAAGAGCGTGTGATGATTGGTTATACCGACTGGATGGGAGCACACAGCTAACGCTGTACGATCCTCACAGCCAGGAAAGCATTTGCTAGACGTAGCCCTTGAAGGAAAATGTCAGAGTGTGGAGAGCACAAGGCCATGCTCAGCCCTGCCCTCCTGTTCAGTTCACTGAGTGCAGTCACTTCCACACACAGATCCTCCCCTCCTAAACCCCAGCCAGAGGAGGCTGCGAGAGCACCGAGGACTCCCAATGGCCTGCAGGCCAACCCAAGCTATGAATCTCTCCTTACAGGCACTCTGTGCATGCAGCTACAGCCCTGATGCTGCACGGAGCTGGAACTTGTGAGAAGCAAATGTACGTGGGCGGCCAAATAAGGCAGAGGCTGTGTGTGAAAGTGGGCGAAAGGCGGCCCCTTGCTCTGTAGCAAGTGCAGGTGGTGGCTGCTTGGCTGGGCGTTCCCCAGAGCTGCCGGCAGCTGCTTTCGGAAGAGACATTCTGCACTTTGTAGTTTTGGAAACTCACTTTTCATGACCTGAGGCAGAGCTGGGTATCAGTTCTTGAAACCTGTGCAGCGAAATCAACTCACTCACACTTCCTGCCCCCAGCCCAGGCCCTGGGTCAGCACTCTCACGCCACACAGGCTCAGGCTACCCAGAGAACAGCCAGGCTGCTCAGAGCCAGTTCAGACAAAGCTGACACAGGCATACCCCCGGGCTTGGCTGAAATACTCCAGCAGCACTCCATGTAAGAGCAGAGTAGGAGCTTCTGTCGGCTGACTGCAGGCTCTGGAGTCCCCCCCAAACAACTGGGATCTCTCTTTCCTGTCTCCTGGCCGGGATACATTACAGGTTCTTCCAGCTGCCTGTGTAATGGGAAACCTCCATACACTGCCACCCTAATCGCCTCTGCAGACCAGCTCTGGGTACGTCTCTAACCCCCAAGCAGGAGACAATTCCCCTGCCCTTAGCTGTACAGGCAGAGCAGGTTTGGGGGGAGGCTGCTGGGAAGAGAGATGATTAGTCTTGGCCTTTGCAATCGGGTGGCAATTTGAATAGCTGTGCAGGGGCCCCCACTTCCCTAGAACTAGCCCAGAGGCTAGCGAGTCAGTAGGCAGCCAGTACTGCCCCATCTGCCCCAGCATGGGCTAGGGAGCTGAGCTGCAGGCAGTGGGGCGAGCACGCTGGGAGATGCCACACTCCATCAGTATCACCTAATGCCCAGCATAGCAGTAGAGGACATGCTACTGCTGGAAGCCCCATGATCTGCACCAGAGAGAAAAAGCCAGTGCCAGCCACTCTGAGATCCCCTGGTACTCAATATATTTGCCTGAGCCTCTTAGCCAATTGCCAATACTGGCTGTCAAACTTCACTTTCCTCCATTCCCCTTGCTGCCTCACCTAGATACAGGTTGCTTCTTCGTGTCCTGACACGCTGCATTGCTGTGCCGTTAAACAGCTGCCAGGTATCACTCCAGGAGGTGGCTGCATTGCACTTGTGGAAGGAGGAGAGATTCCTGTGCTGGGTTTGCGAAGTTCCCCACTCCCATATACTGTACACCCCACTGTTGGGCTACAGCCCACACAACCAACAATGGAGAAAAGGCTCTTCCTGTCTCTCCTCCACTTGCCAGCAAGACCCTTCCCTGGCCCATTCCACCCTGAGCACACCAGACTGCCCCTATGCCCACCAGACTGCCCCTATGCCCAGCACTTGCCAGCCTACTCCATACACAGATCCACCAGGGCCCAGCCAGCTTCACTCTGCTCCATGCTCCCAGCAGCAGGGCAGGACGGAGAACTGGGGAGGGAGGCAAGACCCCTAGCCTGGCCCTACTCCCAGGCAGCCAACATGGGACAACAGCCCGGGCCAGCCACCCCGGCTCCTTGGAAGGAGCGAGTCTCCCTGTCAGTAAGCAGCACCCTAAGGGCTGGGCTGTTGAGCACTCAGGGAGGGCTGGGTGCAGGGAGGAGCCTCCAGCACAGAGCCTGAAAGCTGGGAAGGGTGAAGTGTAATTGGCAAGTCAGAGGGAAGCTGCCTGCTCCTCCACTTCCCTCTGCCAGAGCTCAGCAAAGCCCACAACGAGGCTGTGGCACCCCCACGTGGCAGCTAAAAAGGGTCAGCAGTGAGGCCCTCAGCCAGCAGGGCTAGGACTAAGGAAACATGGGAACAGCCCCCTAACCCCAAGCACAGAGCCCACCTGAAAGCCAACTCCACTGAATCCCCTCCCCCCACTCTGATAACTCAAACCACCTGCATGTACACTATGAACCTTGAATACTCTCCCCACACAAGCTTCCCCACAAGCCCCAAATCCCACCCCGGACACGACTGACACTGGCTAGCCTGAACCCTCCCCCACCAGCCCCCTCAGCCCAGACTAAACCTAACTTATGCTGCCCAGAAACCATCACTAGCTCTCCCCAAGCTCCAAGGTTTAGCCAGGACCAGCCCTTTCTATAAAGCAGCTCAGCCCAGCAGTCACTGGTGCAAAATATTCTCCATGGACGCTTTTCACATCACAGTTGCAATTAAACTGAATTTCTTACAATTTCACTATTCATTGAGAATTGTCTCTTGTGCAGGAATTGCCAGGCTGGATCAGACCCGAGGTCCAGCATCCTGACTCCAATAATGGCCAGAACCAGATGCTCCAGAGAACAATGCAAGAACCCCACAGTAGGTTGTTTCAGGGTAATCGGGCCCCGGGAAGGTTTTTCCTAATCACCATCAGTTAGTCAAGCATCTCCCAGCGCGCGGCCAGACTAGCCTTGGGCCAGATGCAAACATTAAAATGAAGAGACTTTTAACTCCACACATTAGGGTTGAAGGGTGCTCAGCACGTTTCATTTTCCTGTGGGGGATGGTTTAGGAGACACCCAGTTCGAAGCTAACTTAAATCCCCAAAGCACCAGGGTCATACCACGATTCAGAACCCAATTTTCATCTGAGTTTTGTGGTGGGATGTGAAATCACCGGCAAAAACCCAGAAACAGTTGGCACTGGGCATGTCAGAAAGGAGCCTTTTTAAATCTCATGGGCAGGAATATACACAGAACAATATGACAACCTCAGAAAGCACAAGGATTGATATTCATGGAGTTACAGTAGAGATTTAGAACTGAAATGTGAACGCAGCCGTCATTAGGCAGCGGTTGAGTTGAGATTAGAACCTTGGTCCTCTAAAGGCATATAGGCCTTGGCCTCAAGCGAAAACATCCATCTGCCACACATCCAAGTTCTTTCTAAGCTGCAACCAGCCAGTAGAGGGCCACATGCTCCCACACAGGTAGGTGTACATACACAGGCACACACTGCCCTACCCTGGAGCCAAAGAAAAAAAAAACATCTCCCATCCTGCCACCCTTGGTTTGTATAAGGTCCTACCCATCCACAGATACTGTTAATAACTTTGCCTTGTGATAGCCTCTCTTCAAATGAAGTCAACATGTTCATTTTCAAGGAGTTTTAACTCACAGGAAGTCTGGAGGGAGAGTAAGAAACCATCACCGAACTGCTGAGACAAACACCAAGAGGCAAAGTTTCAAATCAGGGAAATGTGAAGAATCTCTCTGAGCAATGAGCTAAATGCCTTAATGACTCAGCACTAGGAGTACCCCTGAAGTCACAAGGCCACGTACCCCTAAATCACTTTGGAAAAATCTGACCCTCAGAAATACATTTTTTTTCACACTTGCAAAAAATATTCTCCTCAGTTTAAATGCAGCAACTTTCAGGCAAAGCAAGTTTTCCATGCTCAATTGATAGGATGCAAAAAACAGGGCATTATAATGGACATCGATTGCAAGGTTAGTTCCAGAGGGGAAGGAAAATATGATTCACATGGCTAATTTTTATGTTTATAAGTCAGAGACCGTCCCATCCCCAATGGTCAGCAGCTCTTGCTGGACAAGCATGGAATGAAGAGGAGCAAATAGAGAAGTAACATGAGCAGCATTTTCACAGGAGACAAATAGGGGAAGAGGAGTAGGGAAGTTCTATCTGCCTGGCGTGCAGGGCACCGGTGAGAGCACAGGGGACTCTGGAGTCCAAGCCGCATGGAGTGCGGGGTGTAATGTGTGCACACACCCCTCACCTCGCCCCTTCACGGTGTCCAAGTGCTACCCCAAGCCAATGGGAGTCCTTGTACCCCTCCACACAGCCCTATCTACGGGCCTTTTTCTTGCTCGACATGCCACAAAATCCTCAGCACCAGCTTCACCTCCTGCCTCCAGCTTGTGCTACCCAAGCACACAGGGAAAGCCTGTTTGTGACCATTAGGAGCTACTGCACTATCCAGTGCTCGGTAACGTCGTCCTCCTCTCCGGCTCCCTCCTCCCTTCAGCACCTGGCACTAGAGCTTCAGCCATTAGACTGCTCGATAGTGCAGAAACGAGGCCCCATCCCAGTGAGCACACCGATTCCCATCTGGCCCAAGGTGCAGAGAAAGGGGTGGCAGTTGCAGAGTCCAAGCCCAATTCCAGCCTGCAAAGGGCAGCAACCAACCAGACCAACTCCCATGGTGAGTCCCTGCATGGGGCCCCAGCCCTCCTCAGACAGACTGCTAGGAGGCTGGTGCAATAGGTGACTAGGAAAAGAAAACAGATGCCTGTGACCACATTTTTATTGGGAATATTTACACAAAACAATCCCCCTCCCATGGCCCCTCCCCCACACAACGTCTGGTTGACCTGCTGCTTCTGAGAAACTCAGGGTGGGGGAGTCTGTACAATGCTCTTAGAGAAACCCTTCATCATACACAGAGGTGTTCCTGCCAGCCCACTGCTTCCCCCATCCCTGGCCCCTGGGCTCAAAGATTCTCCATCTGCTGGGTGAAGAGAGAGGGACCATAAGAATCCAGATAATGCTTGAGAGGCTGGGTCTGATCCAAGCCCCCACTACCACCGCCATCAAATTAGGAGTTCCTGCTCCCCTCCCCCCCCCCCCCCCCCCGGACTGAAAGCACCAGAGCTGCTTCCTAGAGCAGTCTCGGTACCCCAGCCGCTCTGCCGAAAAGGAACACTGGCCAGGTGCTGGAGACTCCTCCATGTGGTGCAATGACGGCTTAGGTTTTTATGGCTGTGTCTCGGGATTTGTAGGCCACACCTCGGCTCTTCAGCTCCCGCACAATCCCTGCAACAAGGAGACAAACAAGAACTTCAGTGTCATCGGGAAAAGGGAGACTTGGGAAATCTGGTGCTATGCGCCTACTCATCCTACCCCAGGTGTAGGCCCTCACCCTGTCCCCGTTCCCATAACGCCCAAAGCCTCACTAACACGAATTACTCTGTTCACATTCCTTGTGAGGGGGCAAGTCTCAGCCCCATTTTAGAGATGGGCAGCTCAAAGGGCCCATTAGATCATCCAGTCTGACTGCCTGTAGAACACAGACCGTTACATGCCACCCAGTCATCCCTGGATTGGACCCAGTAACTTGCCTTTGACTAAAGCACCTTGCAGAAAGGCGTCCAGTCTGGATTTGAGAACATTGAGACCAAGAATTCACTGATCCCTTTGGCAGGTTGTTTCAGTGGCTCATCGCCATCACTGTTAAATATTTGTGTCTATTTCTACTTTGCATTTGTGTGGCTTTAACTTCCAGCCACTGGGTCTTGCTTGGCCTTTCTGCACTAGATTAAAGAGACCGTTGGCATCCAGTATTTTCTCCCCCATGTAATTAATTCCCCTGAACCTTCTCTTTGACCAGCTAAACAGGTTGAGCTCTTGAAGTGTCTGGCTGCAAGGCATTTTCATCAGCCCTCACATCATTTCTCCGGATTTCTCTGCACCCTTTCCAATTTTTCCAACATCTTTTTAAAAGTGTTGATTCAACAACTGCACAGTCTTCCAGTATTGTCTCATCAATGCTGTATACGGAGGTAAACATCACCTTTCTAGTCACTACTCCTGTTTATGTATCACAGCTCACATTAGCTCCATCTGCCCCAGCATCACACTGAGAACTCAGGATGATTTGCTTGTCCACTTTGACCCTTAAATCCTTTAAAGGCTCAGTGCTCCCATTGGTAGGTACAGCCTGCATTTCTTCTTCCTAGATACGTAACACTGCATTGCATCATCATCTCCTTTTTTCCAAATGCCAACACTGGGTAGGGCCAAGGTTTGAGCAGATTCCAACCATGTCAGTTCTGAGCTGCCATCTGAGGCTGTTGGCGGGTTGCCTGGATGGCTTCACCTCCTATCTCCTTGACCATCCACGGTTTCTCTCTCCATGCACTTTTCCATAGAGAAGAATTTTAGGCACTCGGCAGGGGGTTACTCTAGCAGCATGGCCAAACACTGAAGCTTACAGAGCTCTGTGTAAGCTCGACAATTTGTCTCTCTCACCCATAGAAGGTGGTCCAATAAAAAGATATTACCTCACCCACCCTGTCTCGCTAATATCCTGGGACCCACACAGCTAAAACACTGCCCAGTTTTCGTCATTTACCACTCCTCCTTTGTCTCACCTGCAAAATTGATCAGCAAGGATTTTATGTTTACATCCAGATCACTGATGGAAATGTTGCAGCATTGGGCCTACCACCTAACATTTTGGTGGAACCCCACCAGTAACAGCTGCATTTGATGATGATTCCCATCAACATCTACTTTTTGAGATGGTCAGTTAGCCAGTTTGGACTCAGTTTAACACATGCTCTGATACTGTATAGTTCTCTTTTTAAAAACAGAGATCAGAAGGATGTGTAGTACTAAATCAAATGCCTTACAAGAATCTAGGTAAATTACATCGATGCACTTTTATTAAGCAAACATGTAATCTCAAAATGAAATCAGGCAGAGAGGGACAAAACTTGCCTAGATCATACAGAGAGTACACGGCAGAGCTGAGAATAGAATTCTGATCCTCCCTCCTGTGTGTGCATGTGTGCATTCAGGTGAGTGCCCCTACACGGGGAGACACCATCCCACCACCCTTTTAAAAAATCAGGAGAAAAATCAGCCAGATTACCTTGGGGCAGACGACCAGTTACAGACACTGCATACACACCAGGCTTGAAATTACCTGCAAGAGAGACAGACAGACAGCACACACACTGGCTTATTCTCCACATCACCATCCAGGCAAGAGAACGCAGCCCTTGGTAATTTGGTGTGTTGAATTCCCCCCACCTCCACCCCCAATTCAATGGTAATAAGGGAGGAATACACTAGAAGGGAGTGAGAAAGCACTTTTCCCATGGAGAGTAAATCACTGTGTCTTTAAAGGACACCTGCTCAACAACGGAGCACCAGGCAGGACTCCACAGCCCCACCTGAAACTTATCCAACCTCCCTGGCCCTGCGGGGGTGGTGAGGAAAGCTATTGCTGTTACCTGAACATTCGTCAGAGGAAAATAAGCTAAAGTATAAGAGGAGAGAGACACACTCACTGACTCGCTGCCACTTGGAGACCCAGCTGTCCTCAGGGCTCATCATAGCAATAATCCTGCAGAAGAGAAGAGGATTAGTGCACAAGGCATGTTTCTGACCGCAAGCCCCACCACACAGCACAACCCAGACTAACCAGAGGTAGGATGAAGAGGAAGTCAAGACCCCCTCCTCCTACATTCCCCAGCACTTGGCAGCAGCAGGGTCATGGATACTAGCAGCAAAAATGATGTCACCATGTCAGAGCTCCCTCTGGCAAAAGATAAAGGGGAGGAGGGGGAAGTGTGGAAACAGGAGACTCCCATTAACCCATGGGAACGTACCAGCTCCTGCAGGTTGACAGAGACATGTCTGCCTTGACCAGTCAGATCAGACACTTGAGACTCCACTAGCTATACACATGGTTGGCACTGCTGCCTAGAAGTCAAAGGCAGGTTACCATATACTCTTGAGGGCATTCTGCACCAAAAAATTAATAATTATGTGCACAATATTTTAAAATTCTGCATGTTTTATTTGTCAATAAATAAATGCAGCGGCTCCAGCATGGCAGTGGGGAGCACAGGGCACTGGCCGCACGAAGGTGGGAGATCACCCTGCAATCCCCTCCCTGGGATACGGACTCAGCAGTGATGCTGCACCCAACGCTGACAGCACAAGGCCTGGGGGTCTGGGTGTGGAGGTTGCAGCGGGGAGGTCTGGGTGCTGGGGGAAGTGAGGGCTCAGGGTGGGGCATCAGGTGAGGGTTTGAGTGCAGGGAGCTCAGTGGAGGTGCAGGAGTGGGGGTCTGGAGGCAGGGGGCTGGGTGCAAGGCGGCTCCAGAAGCAGGGGTTGAGTTTCAACGGGGTGGGGTATATGGAGGGCTTTGGCCTTCCTGATTACACCCCTGCATGCTCGAGCAATATTTTTATACTCCTCCCTAGTCAGCTGTCCAAGTTTCCACTTCTTGTAAGCTTCCTTTTTGTGTTTAAGCTCACCAAAGATTTCTCTGGTAAGCCAAGCTGGTCACCTGCCATATTTACTATTCTTTCTGCACATCGGGATGGTTTGTTCCTGCACCCTCAATAAGGCTTCTTTAAAATACAGCCAGCTCTCCTGGACTCCTTTCCCCCTATTAGCCTCCCAACAACAGCACAGACCTCTTTCACTTCAGCTACAGGAGCAAACGGAGGGGAGGATGGAGAGAAAGGGGGAGGAAAACACAAACACACACAGGACAGATGGAGAAACAGTTATTCTCTATATGGTCTGGCTCATAGAGGGACAACACACTTTGCCAGTGGGTTACACAATTCGTGAAGCAGCAGTGGAACACTGGGAAGAAGGATTCTGGATTTCTATCTCTGGCTCGGAGAGCAGAGTGTGGGCTAGTGTTACAGACAGCATGGCCTGACATAACATAACAGCACCCCTGTGTCTGACCATGGAGGGAACTGAACCGTGGTCCTCTGGATGTAGCAGCAGCAGGAGACTTCACCACATTGTGTAAGCGTGGGCTACACAAGCACATGGAGGTGTTAGTGCTACAGAGCATTGCTGGTGCTGCAGAGTTGTTAATGCTGCTGCTCTTGGAGCTCTGGGGTTAGCTGCACTAGCAGAGAGTGCAGCTTGCTGATTCAGCAGACAATGTTGTTCATAAAAAGGCCACAGGCTCAGCTCGGTGGCAAAGGTGCTTGGCCAGGTTTATTGTCAGCAAAGCACAGTACGAGCGCCTGGCCAATGGGTCACAGGGACACTGACACACATATGACAAGATAACAGCTCGGTCAGCATAACAGGATGCTGTCCCCTCAGCCATTACAAAGTGGCCCCTTCTATAGTTTCTCCTTTTATACAGTGATACAAACAAGTTACATCTGACACTCCAGGTGTTGTTAGTTACCGCCCTTCTCCTTGTACCTTCTAGTTCCAACAAAATACCCTCATCCATTATCCTGTCATCCCCTCCTTATCTTACGAGAGGTCGATGTGGTCCTGTACCACCTCTTGAAAATTTGTTTATATGGTTATTTGAAACCTTTGAGTGTTCTTGTACCATCCTCTCCGGTCAGAAATGGGCTTACTTGGTGAGCCAATACCGGGTGTGTTACTATACTGTCAAGGCCTACTCTGGTTCATACTGTGTGTTATGTCTAGGGCTCCAACAAGGCCTACACATGGGTCCGGTTGTTCCTACTGAAGGCTGTATGGCAAAATTTTACAGACTTGGCTCGATTACATTAGAGACATGGATTCTGTTGCCAGTTTTGCCAGGAGTGAATCTGTGCAAGCGTTAGCTCATCTGTGACAGGAGCATACGATAGTTACCTCCCCCAAGGTAACAGTCAGAGACCTTGGTTAAAGGAACAGAAATATTAGCAGCTGTCAGTGGAAGAGGGGAGACTAGAACTCATGGCCCCCTCACTCACCTCTCAATGCATCCTCCCCTAAACTACAATGCACAGTGTGGGGCTCTTCCCCATCCGCCAGCCATCTGAAGGCAAGAACTTGTTGCATTTTCACAAAAGTTCCTGCAGCAGGGGGACTGATAATTAATTACATTGCTGATAATTAATTTAAGAGAACTGACAACACTTATCAGCTAGTTGTGCTAGAATTCTATTAATTATTTCAACCAGTTTAACAGATACAAAGTAAGGCTCACTGGTTTGCAATATTCCAGATCATTCCCAATGTATTTTTTAAACCATGAGTACATTTGCTACCCTCCAATACGGCATGAGAATCCGAGGGGCTGCATATTAACATGGCATACATTAAATTGATTACAAACTGGCTAACTAATAGGTCTCAAAATGTAACTGTAAACAGGGAATTGTCATCCTATTGGGTGTGCTTCCAGCAGGGTCACAGAGATTCTTGGCCCTACACTAATTAACATTTTTACCAATGACCTGGAAGGAAATATGAAATCATCACGGATAAAGTTCGCAGATGACAGAAAAATAAGGGGAGTGATAAATAATGAAACAGGTTACAGATTCAGAGTGATCTGGATCTCATGGTAAACTGAGTGCAAGCAAACAATATGTGTTGTATGCATTTTCATTTAACTGCAGTAGAACTAGGAACAAAGAACGTAGGCCATATTTACACAATGGGGGACTCCATCCTGGAAAGCAGTGACTCTGAAAAAGATTTGTGGGATGAGGGTGGATAATCAGCTGAATACGAGCTCCCATGGGAAGCTGTAGCAAAAAGCGATAATGCGATCCTGGGATGCATAAACAGAAGAATCTTGAGTAGGGGTAGAAAGATTATTTTACATCTGTATTTGGCCCTGGTGCGACCACTGTTGGAATGCTGTGTCCAGTTCTGGTGCCCACAATTCAAGAAGGCTGTTGATAAATTGGAGAGGGTTCAGAGAAAAGCTACAAGAAGGATTCAAAGATTAGAAAGCCTGCCTTATAGTGATAGACTCAAAGAGCTAAATCTATTTAGCTAACCAAAGAGAAGGTTAAGGTGTGACTTGATTAGTCTACAAGTATCTACAGGGGGAACAAATATTTAATAATGAGCTCTTCAATCTAGCAAAGAAAGCTATGACACAATCCAATGGCTGGAAGTAGATACTAGACAAATTCAGATGGGAAATAAGGCGTAATTTCTGAACAATGAGAGTAATTAACCATTAGAACAATTTACCAAGGATTTTGGTGGATACTCCATCACTAACAATTTTTAAATCAAGATTGGATGTTTTTCTAAAAGTTCTGCTTCAGGAATCACTTCAATGAAGTTTTCTGGTTTGTGTTCCACGGGTCACACTACTACATTGTCACAATGATCCCTTCTGGCCTTGGAGTTCATGAATCTGTATTATACAGCGGGGTGGCCAAACTGCGGCTTGCGAGCCATATGTGGCTCTTTTACAGTTAAAGTGCAGCTTGCAGAGCCCCCCCCATTCTCCACCTACCAGGCTGGACGGGGGGAGCTCAGGACTTCTGCCCTGCACCAGGATGGCTGGGCTAGGGGCATCTGCCCAGAGGGGAGAGAGGTCGAGGAGCTTCAGCCCTGCGGGAGGTGCATGACGGGATTCGGTGGCTTCAGCCCCACTCTTGGTGAAACTTCGAGTCCCAGCAGGTGCCTCCCGCGGGGCTGGAGCCCCTCGCCCCTCCACCCTGCCGCAGCGCAGGAGCCACGAGCCCTGGCTCTCAAATTTCTGAAGACTATCACATGCGGCTCACGTGGTCAGTAAGTTTGGCCACCCTTGTTATACAGTCTCCTGTCTTTGCTCATGCTCAGCCTTGGAAGCATCCTTAAGATGACTAGAGGCAACCCCATCCTCAGTTCTCTTCTCAGGTCCTTAAAGTTATCCTTGGTTTGTGGAACCACCTTCAGCTGTGACACTTGCTCACGTGGGGGCTCCCCAGCTGGAGGATGCTGTTCTCCTTCTGTAAGCAACAGTGGGATACGGCCATGCTCCTCATTACAGAGCCCCAATCCAACATCTCTGGCTTCCTCTCCCACTGGCAGGTACCTTAGCCTCTGGCTAGACCACTAGGAAGCCTCAAGGTACATCTACACTGTGATAAAAAACTTGCATCACCAAGGCTCTTAGCCCGGGTCAGCTGACTCGGTCTGCAGGGCTAAAAACTGCAGTGTAAACATTCAGGGTCAAGCTGGAGTCCAGGCTTCACCATCACAGGGTCTCAGAACCTGGGCTCCAGCTCAAGCGTCTACACTGCAATTTTACAGCCTGGCAGCTTGAGCGCCACCAGCCTGAGCCAGCGGACCCAGGCCAGTCACGGCCACGCCTAGACCATACCCTCAGCCTCATGTCAGTCGTGTGACACGCTAGGCCAAGCCCAAGAGGGAGCAGCCTGGCCAGGAGGTGCTAGAGCTGGTGTCTGGTAGCACCCGAGTTCCCAGACAGTCCCCGTGGCCCCCAAGCTGCCTCGCCCCGGGGCTCACCCATCAAAGGAGGAGCTGGTGCAGTCATAGACCATCTCACGGTTGCCCTTCATCTGCAGGTAGGCGTCGCAGTTATCGCACCCGTCATACTCGAACTGGTCGATGGTCTGCGCGGCAGGAAGAGCGGGGATCAGAGCCTGGGATCCCCGCGCGTGTCCCTCTCCCCGCGTGTCCGCGCTCGCCCCCCCCCCCCCCCCCCCCCCCCCGCCCCACGAGTGTCCCTCTCCCCCCCCCGCGTGTCAGCGCTCGCCCCACCCCCGCGTGTCCCCTCTAACCGCGGCCCACGCGCTCGCCCCCTTCCCCCCCGTCCTGGCACCTTGACCAAGGAGCAGAGCAGACAGGCCCGCAGATGCCGCAGATCCTTGGGCACCGTCTCCAGCGCCATCACCCGCCCCACCCCCAACGGAAGACGGAGAAGCCCCCGCGGACCATAGATATACACAACAGAACGGCTCGGTCACTTCCTGTGCCGGACAGGCGGACTTCCGGTCCCGCGCCAGGCGCAAGCGCAGAATGCTTCGTTCCCGGGTGGGAGAGGCGCGAGCCAGAGGACGGCCCCGCCTCCGCGCGGGCGGGGCTTGGCAACGGGCCTGACCTCGCTTAGCAACCGGGCCCGGCTTAGCGCTGACTCCGCGGCACAGCCCGGCTGTGGGGAACCGGGACCTGCGGCCTCGCTCACTGCCCGCAGAGCCCCGTGTTTGCCCCCCGCTCTTCCCGCCTCTCTGCGCCCCCAGCAGCGCCACGGGGGGGTGCCAGAGGCGGGCCTGACCCCGGACGGCCCCCGCTGACCGCATTAGACCTGTTTCCAGCTGGTCTCTTGAGCAGCCAGGACACGTGTCCCGCCGCTCGGGCTGGGGCCGGCGCGTAACACCCGCTCCAAAGAAGCGAGGCAGCTTGGCTGAGGTCCATCACCGGGTCGAGACCCGCGTCTCCTCGTTACTGTGTGACTCGTGTGCACCAGGCCATCCCCCCGCGAGAGCAGCGGCTGAGGCGGGACCCCTGCTCTTCTGACGCTTTGTAAAGACTCTTGCTGTTACTACGGACACGCGTGTAGACCAGCCCCTGGAGTATGCATTTCCCCCGCGAGTTACTCAGCTGGTTATTAGTCAGTAGTAGGGTATTGGGCCCAGATCCTCCATGGAAGTTAGGACAAGTGACCTTTGAGCATCTGGGCTTCAGTGACCGGGAATGTTGGAGTCTGTTACTGGCTCTGGAAACTCTGTGTGTGGCTGGAGAAGAGAAGACAGGTCTCCAGTTCGTTCTTCTGGCAGCAAGACAGAAATACCCTTGCCTGAAGGAAGGGGAACAGTGCACAAGTGACTGGTTTCCGCTGAAATGAATCTGGCTTCTTTCCTCTGGCTCTTTTGGAGTACGCCTGCACTGCAGTAGGAGGTGTGATTGCAGCATGTGTAGACATACCTGAGCTGGTTTTAATCTAGCTAGTTCAGGTACCAATAGTAATGAAGCTGTGGCCGCACAGACTAGCTGCTGAAGCACAAACCCAGTAGGGAGCCTGGGTATGTACCATGAGCCTCTATGGCCTGTGCTATGTTAGCTTGCAGCTGGTTCATAATCCTCTGTGTAGTCCAGCCACAGGAACATACAGAACCACTCTGTGTTAGTGGGGGTGATGCACAATAAAAAGTAAATTGCCATACTGCTCAAAGCCTCAGTCCTTCAGCTAATTCTCTCCTTTTTCTTTCTTCCTGCCTCTTTTCCTTTACTTTTCAGCTTTTGATTTGATTCACTTTTCTTTCCCCTTTCTCTGTTTAACTCTCCCATCCTCCCACATGCTCATCTAATGCCCTTTCTTCACCTCCTCACTTTAGAGTATCAGGAGGGGAGAGATGAGGAAGCCATTTTGTTGCCCCAGGAATATGACTTGTCCTGTCTTTTTTCCCAGGAGGGGGATGGGAAGCCACCAAAGGTACAGTAACTCCTCACTTAACATTGTTTCGTTGCTGATCAGTTAGGGAACATGCTAGTTTAAAGCTGTGTAATGCTCCCTTATAACATTGTTTGGCAGCTGCCTGCTTTGTCTACTGCTTGCAGGAAGAGCAGCCCGTTGCAGCTAGCTGGTGGGGGCTTGGAACCAGGGTGGACCGGCAGCCCCCCATCAGCTTCCTGCTCCCCTAAGTTCCCTGTGCAGCAGCTGCCCAGCAGGCTAGCAATTGCAGCTGTCCCTCCCCCCACTGCCATGTGCTGCTCCTGCCCTCTGCCTTGGAGCTGCTCCCCGAGACTCCTGCTTGATGTGCTGGGGGAGGGAAGGAAGAGGGGGGCTAATGTCAGGGTGTCCCCCTCCTCCCCGCTTACCCCATCTTCCATAGAGCAGGGGGGACACACCAGGGCTCAGGACGGAGGGAGCTTGCAGCAGCTGTGGTCTCAGCAAGCTGATCTAATTAACAAGGCCTGTACTTAAAGGGGAATGCGCATATCTCCCTCCATTCCTGCTGCCTTGTAGAGTGAGAGAGTTAACCCTTGAGGGCTCAGCCAATTGCTAGTTCATCATTTAGCAGTAAGGCAAATATCCCACCCTCTGACTCCTCCACCGCAACCAAGCTTCACAATCATCATCACTGTGTACCAGTATTAAATTGTTTGTTTAAAACGTATACTCTGTGTGTGTGTGTGTGTGTGTGTGTGTATATATATATATATATATATATATATACATATAGTTTTTTGTCTGGTGAAAAAAAATCCCTGGAACCTAACCCCCTCATTTACATTAATTCTTATGGGGAAATTGGATTAGCTTAACATCGTTTCGCTTAAAGTCGCATTTTTCAGAACATAACTACAACGTTAAGTGAGGAGTTACTGTATCTGAAGAGGGGTGTCTCTGTTGTGTCTGATTCCAGCTCCTACTCATTGCAAGGAATGAGGGGTTTGTGACATTAGTTAATGTTTGTGCAGTGCTTTATTCAGGCTACTGGAGTTCCTGGAAATCAGCAGATTGCACGGGCAGCTAACACAGAGAACTATAGCTTGGGCTTGTCAGGAGGCAGAAGCAATCCTGCCTACTGTGCTATCTTCACAATGCTGGCTGCCCGAGGGGCGGGGGGAGGGTAAGTACAGTAGTTACTCACGGAGAGAGACAGCTGGGCCAGGCTCCCAATAACCATCCCCCAAACCTAGCACACAGCTCCAGTGGCCCATCCCCCTTTGAGACACTACATGAGGGAGTAGATCCCCCACATTCTGGTTGTGGGGGAGAAGGGAGAGAAAGTGAGCCAGGGTGGTTTTCACCCCGTCCACACCCACACCTTCAACAGTCAGCAGTCCCTCTCCCTGATGGGCTAACCAAGTTCTTCTGTTACCAGATAAGGTGCTAGCAGGCAGTACTACAGGTTCAGTTCCTACTGCTGATGTGTGTTGTTACATTTGTACACAATAGCATTTTTTTTTAAACAACTAGATTACCTAGAAGAAAACTACATTGAAAGAACATTATTTAAGTTGAGTATCAGGGGTAGCTGTGTTAGTCTGGATCTGTAAAAAGCGACAGAGAGTCCTGTGGCACCTTATAGACTAACAGATGTATTGGAGTATAAGCTTTCGTGGGTGAATACTCACTTCGTCAGATGCATGTCATCTGACGAAGTGAGTATTCACCCATGAAAGCTTATGCTCCAATACGTCTGTTAGTCTATAAGGTGGCACAGGACTCTGTCTTTTATTTAAGTTGCAAAGTCTAGCACCTGAAAGTTAGGAAATGCCAAATTTAGGGTTGCCCATGCAACCTTAATTTGCCTTCTTTGTGCATATGTATTGTGTTAGAGTTTTTAATTACTTGGTCACATATTATTTTTCCTACGAGACCTCTGCCTCATTCAGTGCACAAGTTGGGTTCACAAAAGGACAGAATTAAAGTTGCACAGGCAACCAACTTTCAAGAACTTGACTTTGCTCATGCGTGGACTGTACCTCCTGCTCCCACCTACAGCTAGGAGCTTGGCAGTGTTCTTCTCATGAACATCAGAGGCCAACATGAGATCATTTGAAATAATTTATTTCTGTGGAATTGGAAGGAGGCACCTTCTTAGAACACAAGCCTCTGATGACTGTATATAGAACAAAAACACAAGAACAGACCTGATACGTGGATAAATATATTAGTAAATAAATATATTTCTGAGCACATCACCATATTCAAACATTTTTGTTTCCATCTCAGACATAAATATACAGATTTGCATATATAAAAAAACCTATTCTTCCTTTTTGGTTTGTAATTTACCCAAAACACCCAAGAGCCTTGCAGAACAGACTCAGCAAAAACTAAAAACCATGTTCACATTTCAAAAGGATCTGAGCTTTACAAGCCGAAGGAACAGAGGGCTGTTTGCATGAATGAAGGAGGCTCCGGGAGCTGTGCCTGCTTGGGGCTCCTCTCAGTGACACTGGCTGTCCTGGGAAGAGGCTGTAACTCAGCTGCCAGGGGCTCTGGGGAAGGGCTGAGGGTTCAGCAATGGGTAATGCTCATTTGAGAAGCTCTGGCTTTCACTCCTACTCCGCTCTCTTAGGGCAAGGAACGAGCGCTTAAACCCTGAACCCCTGCCTTGGACAAACACTACCGACATTCAGTGCCTGATCCTGAGTGCTGCTGAGCTCCTGGGAGTCTCCTTGGAGTTACAAGTCCATTTGGAGGTGCAAGTGTTCAGCACGTCAGGATTATTTTTCATTGATTCTTACATCACCTCCTCTCTTAGATGGCTAAGGAATCTATTCCTCCTTTTATTTAATAGTCCCTTGGATTAACTCTTCCAGACAGAGCTCTTCCCCTTCTTCCCATCTGATAACCCATATGGACAGAACTGCAACCCCTCCCCCATCTAAACTACTTCCTAGATCTGCTCTCCATGCCCAGAGAGATCCTGAGGCTTTGATAGGTTGGGTTTTGAAAGAAAAGTAGCAGCATAAGGCCAGGAAATAAAAACACTTTAAAGTGGGAGCTGCCCAATGCAGCCCACCTAATACTGCAGTACAGAGCAGCAGGGGTCCTTTACTACAGAGCACACATTCCACTGGGCTTGGGGCTTAAGCCAGACAGAGTCCTCCTAAGGCAGGGGTTCTCAAACTGGGGGTTGGGACCCCTTGGGGTTACGAGGTTATTACGTGGGGGGTCAGCCTCCACCCCAAACCCCGCTTTGCCTCCAGCATTTATAATGGTGTTAAATTTGTAAAAAAGTGTTTTTAATTGATAAGGGGGGCTGCACACACAGGCTTGCTGTGTGAAAGGGGTCACCAGTACAAATGTTGGAGAACCACTGTCCTAAGGGAAAGAGATGAATACTATTAAACTGCGAACAAGAGGCCTAGTCTTTCAAGGTGCCGAGTGGGCTCATCAATGGGGGTTTAGCTCTGGGGTGGAAGATCCTGCAGATCTATGCAGGATCCTGCCCTTGGTCTGAAAGCAGCTTGGAGTTCAGGGCCCTCCTCTTTGTTAAGACAATTGAACAGCATTTGGCTGGGGCATGTGATGAACTGCATAAGAAGAGCCATAGGCCAGCATGCACCGTAAGCAGAATCTTGGGAATCTAGGCCAGCTCCTGCTTTTACTTCTAGTTTAAAGGTGACCTGCTTGGGGGGAAGGGGGGATTGGGCTTGTGTCCTTTTCTTTCTTCTTTCTGATGGAGAAAGAAAGCCTGAAAGGATTAAGATACAAATCTGTTTTTGACCTTAGAAATCCAGACCCTCTCCATGCTGAAAGACTCTGCGGTTGGCTGGAGAACTAATGAAATGACGATATCACAGGAGCCAACACAATGAGAGCAGACAAACTGGGGGAAGAGCTTTTGGTTAGACTGCACCCCTCCCACACCCAAACTCCCTCCCAGAGCCTTAGGCAGGTGTGGGGGGTGGGGTGGGACTTGGACCCATTCTGGGCACCACCAAAAATTATACAAACCTGCTGCCCCTGAGCGCAAACACCTCATGGTAGCAGCTGTGGGGAAATCTGTCCCCACATTAGGTCTCGGCCTGGTCTCTCCTACAGTAGAACATCAGAGTTACGAACTGACCAGTCAACCACACACCTCATTTGGAAGCAGAAATACACAATCAGGCAGCAGCAGAGATAAAATAATAATAATAATAAAGCACATACAGCACAGTACGGTGTTAAACGTAAACTAAACAAAAAAGGGAAAGCAGCATTTTTCTTCTGCATAGTAAAGTTTCAAAGCTGTATTTTGAAAGAACCATCATAATGTTTTGTTCAGAGTTAGGAACATTTCAGTGTTACGAACAACCTCCATTCATAACCGAGGTGTTCATAACTCTGAGGTTCTACTGTAGTTAGAAACTGGCTTCAGCCCTGAAGGAGGGGTGGGGGGGCTTCTAGCATTTTCATTAGCATGAGAACACTGGATATTTCTCATGTACATATAACTGTCCAACCCTATTTTGAATCTTGCTAAGTCCTTACATGACTTTTTGTAGCAGCGAGTTCCACCGACTAATTATGCATTGTATGAAAACGTATTTTGTTTGATCAGTTTTGAATATCACACTTTTAATTTCATCAAATGGCCCCTTGTTCTTGTGCTGGAAGACAGGGAGAGCAGAAGCTCCTGATCTCCCTTTTCAAGACCATTCATTAGTCTGATCTGTCTCCTCTCTAAGGTAACAATCCCATCTTTTCACTCTCTTTTCACATGCGTTTTTCCGGTCCCTGATCATTCGCATCACCCTCGCCCTCTGAAACCCTTCACTTCCACAATATCCTTTCTGAGAGGGCTGATCAGAGCTGCACCATGTCCAGGGGAGGCTGCACCACTGAGTTCTATAATGGCATTATAATAGCTTCCTTATTATTCTCAGTGCCATTCTGTATGCATCTTCTTTGCTTTTTTGACCACAGCTGCACACCGAACTGAGGTCAAATTTAATATGCATATCTTTCTAACCATTCTGCTCTAGCTCAGTTCTAGAGCAGTGTGATTCTGGAACAGCCTTCCAAGAGGAGTAGTGGGGCCAAACAACATCACTGGTTTTAAAATGTAGATTGATACAGTTATGAATGGGATTATCTGACAGGCTTGGCTGTGATAGCAGGGGACTGGAGTCAAAGACCTAGAGGGTCCTTTCCAATCCCCCAAATGGGGGAAGGATAGCTCAGTGGTTTGAGTATAGGCCTGCTAAACCCAGGGTTGTGAGTTCAATCCTTGAGGGGGCCACTTAGGGATCTGGGGCAAAAATCAGTACTTGATCCTGCTAGTGAAGGCAGGGGGCTGGACTCAATGACCTTTCAAGGTCCCTTCCAGTTCTATGAGATAGGTATATCTCCATATATATTAAGTTCTTATGTTGCAATAAGAAATCATGGGCTTGATGCAGGACTCACTGAGTGACGTTCTCTGGCTTGTGTTATACAGGAGCTCAGATTAGATGATCATAATCATAATGCTCCCTTCTGGCCTTAACACTTGTGAATCCATGAATTCCTGGATTTCTAAGATAAATACAAGCAACAACAAAAAAACCTCCCCAATTTTTCCCCAATGTCTCCATCAGAAAGAAGCTAGAAAAGGACACAGCTGATTTTGAAGAATTCTTTTGCAGGTCACTGAAAGGAGCTTAAGTTTCCAGAAATGTTAGTTGGGATGGGGCTCTACTGAGCATTTACTGTCCCAGATGCTTTCCCTGGGACTTCAGTGTGCGTCTCACTGTGTCATGTGATGATGATGGCAATGATCACGCTGAGGAAGGCAGAGAAGGAGGACCCATGCTGGCTCATGGATGAAGAGGATAGTCTCTCATTTCTCCATGATTCCCATGCTTTCCAAAAAGATGCTTAGAGAGGCTTTGAAACATGCACCACAAGTGAGCTACTCAGCACAGTTACAGGGCTGGCCTTTATAACTACTTTGATAATAAGCAAAGACTTAAGTGATGAATGAGGAATCTAATAACATTTCCAGGTAACGTAATGGATTCTGAGAAGATTCTCAGCCCCAGCTCTTTCCTGGAAATGCTAGCAGAATCCTGAATGTCCTCACTGCTCCTCCAGCTGGATCCTAGTATGGGCAAAAATACAAGTTGTCCCCACCCTGGCCTCAGCTGAAGGGACAGGGACCCTCAATTCCCACTGCAGTCAATGGAAGCATCTTGCAGGGTCAAGACCTAAGAGAGCTCCTGCAGTGTAGAAATGGAAGAGAGTATCTTGTGCTTAAGTTGGAGAAATAAGAGTATTCAGGGTTAGTGAAGTAGGCTGGCCTGACTTTGACCTAAGTGAGGAAATGAAAAAGGCAGGAGCTCTTTGGCTATAGAATGTCATCTCTGCAGCTTTTAGTCTCATAATGGGTCTGCCCATTTCCAAAAGCCTCCGAACTCCCACAGGTTTGTGACCATGCCAAAATACCGGTTTATGTCTACCCAGCAGGCTCTCCAGATAACGAACACTGGACACAGGGTTGGAATGAGTAAGTCCATGCCCCCAGAGTGTCTTCTGATCAGTGTGTGCTGTCCGTGCCTTAAAAAGAGAGAGGAGTGGTGGTTTTGTGTGACCACAATATAGTAAAGTGGGCGGGGAGCAGGCAGGAGGGGGCATCATGGAGGTTACCAGCACATTTTGTTTCTCAGCGTGGGGCAGACTAGGACTGTTACTACACTACCTGCTCAGAGATACAGGAAATAAGTCACTGATTCCAGTTCTTGTTCGTTTCCTGAATGTTTTGTCCACTCTGGCTCTCTGTAGTATGCAGATGAGTTCATCTTTCATTAAACAGAATGTTCGTACACATCTTGGATCTCCTCCTTGGATCCTGCATTCAAAAAAGAAAATGTAAGTTACAGGTATCCCAACCCCCAAGGCCCAACTCCAACGGGGTCTTGATCCAGCAATAATATGGAGAACAACAAATGCCCCCAGCTTCCTGCCAGCATGTCCTGGGGGAACCTTCCTGTCCCCACATGCATAGTCAGTCTAGCCTTCCCAGATAATGACTAGTCCAAGCTATAGCTAAGGATAAAACCAAACTGCTCTTATAAGTGCCTGGTTCGCTCAGAACTTTCTGAAACCACTTACCCTGGATGTGACACTTTCCGGGCTTTGCGCCAGCACCAAAGGGGTTTCGGTTGTTGGTGTTTTAGGGAGGCTGAGTTTGTTTTAATTTGGAGTAAAATACATTGAGCCATTTTTGAATTATTAGTGATTGACAATAACAATTATTTGTATACCCAGAGTGCCCCTGACCACACCCTCCATGCCCTGGGCTATACAGCAGAGTAAACTTGACTGCAGTACAAGGAGTATACAAGTTCTTTGTGTGTGGATGCAAGCGGGTGTGTTGTGTGTCAAGAATGTACTGGGGGAAAGCTACATGGAAAGTTGTGTAATTGTTTCTGAGTTGACAATGAAGTCAAGCCCCAGCAGAGGCAGAGTTTGAGCATGAACTCCAGGCTTGGGTGCTCTGCTGAGGTAGTGGTAGGGCCTGACAAGTGCCCATTTCTCTCTGAATTATCCAGGCACTGCATGGTTTACATAGACATGTTTCAGCCTATGGTCTGCTCACAGACTATTTGCCAGGACTATTGCTTCAAATATTCACTATCTCTGCTGTGTGACTAGGCACATAAATCACATGGGATTGTTTCTCCCCCATCACTGAGTGACTCGCAAATCATAGAATCATAAAGAAGATTAGGATTGGAAGAGACCTCAGGAGGTCATCTAGTCCAACCTCCTGCTCAAAGCAAGACCAACCCCAACTAAATCATCCCAGCCAGGGCTTTGTCAAGCCGGGCCTTAAAAACCTCTAAGGAAGGAGATTCCACCACCTCCCTAGGTAACCCATTCCAGTGCTTCACCACCCTCCTAGTGAAATAGTTTTTCCTAATATCCAACCTAGACCATCCTACAAGGTGCTCTCACAATGGATACACAAGTATGTCCAGAACAAATGCACATCTGTCCGAGTCTTTACAACGTTCTCCTTGCCCCACATTTATTGAGAATGAAAGGAAACAGTTGCTTGTCTTAATATTTGTGGAAAGTAAATACAAAAGGTTGTGAAACCTGTCACAGCAAATTCAGTGTCTGCAAATACTTCACTGCTTTGGAAATGGGACCAGACAGATTAGAAATACAGGCAGAAAATAAGCAAAGAAATTTAGCTTGAAAAAAGCAGCTACTAGATTTGGGGAAATGAATCCCAAACAGTTGCAATGCAAAAGGAGTGCTCTGTCTCTGCATATATCTACATAAATAGATAATAGATGAGGTGCCAGTAGGTAGTGCTCAGAAATAGGCAGCCGTGTTCCTGGGTTTTGCAGGACCAATAAAGCCTGTTGTTAAGCACTGCAGATTGTTTCTCATATGCGATATTTAAATGCAGCTCGCAATGTGGAGTCTGAGATTTTACTTATCAAATTCTACTTTGTGGCTGACCAGAGGCCCTGAGTCACTCTGGCATTCCATGCCCATCTGCAATGCCAGTGCATGGGTCTGTCTGTGAAGCAAGCATTCTACGGCCTCCTGGACAAACGCTGAAGCAGCTGCAAGGCTAACATTCTCCCATGTCCCATTAGTGTCGCCCCAGGACAGAGAAGTGTCCACACACAGTCCAGCTTCACAAACCAGACCAGGAAATAACTGAAACACTGTAAGTGCTTCTGCTTTGGTCAGAATCAAGTGACAAGCTGCGGCTGTTGGAAGCGATGGACGATGTAATGTTCTACAAGGTAGCAGACAGTTCCAGCCTGTAATAAAGGAGCAAATAATCAATATGGGGATTTTTGTAAAGGTCTTGGATTCCTTCCTGGAGAATATCACTTGGAAATCAGCCCTAAAATGAAACTGCTACATGCACCACACAGAGTAGCAGTTCCTATGAAGGAAGAACTTAAAAACCAGCTTGACAACTTTGTGGAGAGGGGAGTCTAAAAGAAAGTTAAATGATTGACAGACTGGAGAGCAGTCCCGTAGCTATTAAAACACTAGACAAACTCTGGTATTCACCCCATACACCTCAGTGAAGCTCCAAAACTCTCCCATTGTACTTTCTCAGCCACTGGAGGGATCCTGCCCAACCTCACAATGGAGCTGTTCTAGTCAGACACCACAGATGGCTTCTGGCAGGTGAAACGTGTGACAAACATCTGGACTCCTTTAGGCATATATAGACGGCTGGGAAGGCCATTTGGCATTTCTGTGTCTCCAGAAGAGCACCAGGGATGTCACCATGAAGTGCTAGAGGGACTCAGGGAGTTGATGTAATTGCAAATGGCATATAAGGGCTTGTCTACACAGCCCCACAGTGTGGACTATGGGGGTGTGAATTGCAGTGCACACTAAAATGTTGTGCTGTAACTGCCCCCATGTAGACCCTGCTAGCATGAACTAAAATGTACCTTGTTTGCATTACCGTCGTCCTGTTTCAAGCAGGACTGTTTTGGCTGTAGAGGTTTGATTGTAGAGACACCCTCGCAGAGGCTAATGCTGAGCACGATCATGTCCTGATTGTGCTGTTCAGCAGAGAATTTCTAGTGAGCCTGAAACTGACTAATAAAAAGCAAGTCTGTGCCTTCTACCTGTGCCACATACCAGACACCTTTGAACAGCAGAGAGCTGAAAACCAGACTGGAGACACCTCAGGCAGTTTGGGAAATGGCCATCCAGACTGTCCGGATCAGAAGGAAGAGGTGGTGCTCTTTAGTATTCGGGAATATTGGAGATACTTAGAAGAAAGAGAATCGACTTGCTGTGCAGTAACTGAAGTTCTTCGAGCTGTGTTGTTCACATATGTATTCCCCTCAAGATGTGTATGCATCCATGTGCTCTCGATTGGAGATTTTTGCTAGTTGTGTCCGTTGGTCCATGCAGGTGCCCTGAACACCCTCATGCCCCGTACCGAGGGCATAAGGGGTGGAGCTGGACCAACTGCCATTTCAGTCCCCTCTCTACTGCAGACCTGCAAGGTGTAATAGGACGTTGAAGCAGAAGGGAAGGAGGGAGGGTCATGGAATAGACATATGAAACAACACATCCCAAAGAACTCCAGTTACTGTTCAGGTAAGTAACTTCCCTTTCTTCTCAAGTGATTGTCCCTATGTATATTCCATTCATGGTGACTCCCAAGCAATGACCTGAATAAGAAGGTGGGAGCTTGGAGTCTTAACCAAACAGAGACCTTTACTGAAAGAAGCATCCAGTCTAGATGCCTCTATCACAGCGCAGTGTCTAGCAAAGGTATGTGTGGATCCCCAGGTGGTAGCTTTACAAATGTCTGCAATGGGGACATTTTATAAGGAAGCATCTAAAGCTGCCAGAACTCTCATGGAATGGGACCTATTATTTGGTCATTATAATTTGACTACCTTGTAGCACAAATTGATACATTACAAAGCTCATTTTGTCAGCCTCTCTGGTGATATGGGGTTTCCCTTCATCCTTTCAGCACAGAAAACAAACGGTCTCGGAGAAGACCAAAAGGGTCTGGTCCTCTGAAAATAAAATGCTAAGGGCCTTTTAATGTCTTAAGTGTGTAACTTGGCTTCACCACGGTTAGTATGGGGGTCTGAAAAAAATATGGGCACATGGATGACCTGATTTAGATGCAACTTAGACACGTTTTTTGGAATGAACTTTGGATATGGTCTCTGCGATACCTGATCTGGACAAAAAATGCACACTGGGGGTCCGCCATCTGAGCACCTAGTTCACCTACCTCATTGCAGATGTTATTGCGATGAGGAAGGAAGTTTTCACGGATAAGTGCTGTAAATAGCATGTAGTCAAAGGTTCAAAACAGGGACCCATAAGGCCTGCTAATACTCCATTTAAACCCCAGGGGTTCCCGCATGGAGGAAATACTCTCACTTTTAAAAATCTCGTAGTGGTAGGATGGGAAAACACAGTGTATTCCTCTACAGCTGGTTGGTGGCACTAACAGCAGCTTGTGCATTCAGCATCACATTACAGTCACAGCTATCCATTCACCAGGATTACAGAACACACTGGCAGATAGATCTGAGCAAGAATTCCTTGACAGACCATGAATGGAAAATAAGACCTGAAATAACTGATTGAGACACCTGTGTTCTTCAGGAACAGCATATACTCCAAGATCAAAGGAATTTTGGCATCCAAAGGCATTAGGTGATGTTCACACCAAACGACAAATATTCTCCACTTTGAATTACTAAGTCTTTTTAGTGAAGACTTTCCCGCTATTGATTAGTATGTTATGTAGTTCAGAAGAACATTCACTTTTTCTACTTCTGACATCTATCCAAAGCCCATGCAGTTTCATGGAGGGTGTGTAGGTTGGGATGTTGGATTAGATTGTTGTTCTAAGATACTAGGTCTGGGTTTAATGGTAGAAGTATTGGTGGCAACTCGAATGACATATGAGTTTTGGGAAGCAATACTGTCTTGGTCATACTGGAACTATCAAAATAATCTTTGCTGCATCCTGCCTGACTTTCCGGAGCTCAAAGGAACTGGTGGGAATATATGTATCTGAGCATCTGAACATGAAATGAGCAGTGCAGCCCTTAGGGACCCCACACTGAATCCCCATATGGACTAGAAAGTTGGACATTTCTTGCCCTCGTGCATTGCAAACAAATCAATGGAGGAGAGATCTCACCTCTTGAAGATGAACTGAATCATTGAATACTTTATTTCCCGTTCATGGTCTGTCAAGGAATTCTTGCTCAGATCTATCTGCCAGTCTGTTCTGTAATCCTGGTGAATGGACAGCTGTGACTGTAATGTGATGCTGAATGCACAAGTTCCAGTGTTGCACTGCTTCTCTGCACA